GGATATGTATCCAAACAAATAGCATGAAATTGGTTACTGTCTCGCATCGTAATTTCGGCAAATTTTTCAAAATTTTTATCTGTTATGGCCTAAAACCAAAATATATTATTTGTACATTTATTAAAAAATACTTAGAAAATAATCATACTTGAATGATTTCTTTTGTTCTTTCGGGTACACACTTTTGAATTCTGTACTTAAGTAATTCACTAGTTTTTACTGCTTGTTTCATTCCCACTGTACTACTAGTTTTTTTTTTAGAATCATTTACCTAATACAAAATATTTAAAAACATAAATTATAATTTAAAAAAAAGTTTATATAATATTAGTTGGGTGTGAAGCATTAATGTTGTGATACTAAACTTGGAAGCAATAATAACTAATAAGCCATTAAATTCAAAACACTAATATATGTGAAATAAGTTTAAAACCATAGCAAAATAGATAGGTATCATCATAGTTGTACTAGTTTTGCGAAGTATGCTTATCTCCTTCATCTCCGGCCTATGTCATAGTTCTCCACTTATCATTTGTTGATTTTATTCTATGTTATATATGTATGTATATGATTGATAGCCAATAAGAAGTGGAGAACTTCTATAAAGGCGAAGTAAAGAGCGTTGGTTGCGTTTCAAAATACTATCATGGTACCTATCTAATTTGTCATGGCTAAAACTATGTCTACAGTATCAAAATTAGCCCTTTCCATCATACGCCCAGTGGTAGTTGTTCAGTTGTTTAATAGTGGTTATCAAATCATAAAAAAAAAAAAGAATATCTCTAATACCATAAGGAATTTAAAGGACAAGAGGGACTATAGTAAATATTTAATGTAAAATATTGAACACCGGCTGCTATCCAGTCAGTGCTTATTTTTGGTTTTCATAATACAACATGTAACGGCAGAGCAATATTACAGTGTTAAGTGCCAATGATTATAAGTTGCAACGGTTGGTATTAACAACCAGGGTAGGTCATGATTAATTTGTTATGCCTGCGCCTATAAATGTGAATATATGATTTTCTATCAATTTATAGGAAGTTCAATTTTAAATTATAACTATGAATTTAAAGCAACATTGTAAACCAAAATGTAGATTACAGTGTATTTAAATTAGTAGATATAAAAACCTATTTTACCACTAGTATAATAATTCTCATTTCCGGCCAGTGTGTATCTGCAGCAATTTGAACTGCAGTTGAATCATAACCCTGGTCATCAACACCAGCTGTCCACTGAACAAATCCTCCATAAATACTCCTACAGGCACTTCCACTACCTTGTCTTGCTATGGATGGTAAATCTTTATTAACCAAGCCAAACGCATTAGCTAATGTGTATACTGTTAAAATATTTTTAAAGAATAATGAATAATAATTAAAGTACCTATTTATACATTTTTAAATTCTTATGATTTATGGAAATATACAAACCAAGACACGCATAACCAGCTGCTGATGAAGCTAATCCTGCTGCAGTAGGAAAATTATTTTCAGAACATACCTTTATTTTCCATTTTTCCTCTTGACTATTTTTACCTTTTTGTATTTTAATTAAATTTCTTACTAAAAAAAATTAAAAAAACTGTTAATTTGCAACTTATTTTTCATGTAAGTCAAAATATCTAATTTTATTGTGTTTACTGATAATATTTCACTATATATTACTGTTTGTTGAAGAAGTAAAATTTATAAATTAAAAATTGTTTTAGAATAACTAGCAGTCATTTTCCTCAAAATGAAATTCTTTTATTACTTTCAAAACTTTCATTAAATAGTACAACAAAACATTTAGGATAAAAAATAATTTATAGTCCAACATAAAACAATAATAGTTTTAAAAAAAGGTCAATAAAAACAAAAAAATTGTTTGAAAAAACTATAATGTAGATTATATATCATATAGGTATCATATATAATACAAAGATGTAACAAATACATTAATGTTATTAAAATATAGTCTTACTTAGATCAAAGCACTTTTTCAGTCGTTCATTTCTTTCAATGGACATAATCCTGTAATTTTATAATTATCTAATTTATTATTATTAATAATAAAAAATGTATTAAGTTAATATACTTATTATACTTTATTGTTATGAAAGTAATATTTCATATTATATTATTAATGTATTGAATAAGGTAATTCATCTAGAGAAGAATTCTCAAAGGGAGTTTATCATCCATATGTAAACAAACTACTAAGTACATATTTCAAATAAATCTCGACCAGTAGCAAGTAGCTATTACTTTAAGCATCTACCTATTATTTCTCAATATGATTATTAAATCATGCCACTGGTCTCAATTTTAAAATAAGTACAACCAAGAAAAACAAAAATATATAAGAAATAAGTTTCTTACTGCCCATTCAGCCAAACACTGTCTTCATTTATCAACGGTCCAGCAATAATAGATGTTTTGGTATGCATCTATAAAAAAAAAGTTATAACATAACACTTGGGTACTCTAGCAAAAATGAAATACAACATTTTTGAGATTAGGTTCCATATCGGTGGTCTAACACTACCTATCAAGGAATATAGGTAGGTTAGTGTAAGTACCTTCTACCTTGTATATTTGTTATAAAACAAAATTATTTTCGTAAATTATAAACAAGATTTTGAAAATTATACGACAATGTTATAAAGATTTAAGTCATTTTCTGACGGTTGATAAATAATTAATTCTCAATAGGCAATACCTCATATTTTTTTTTTAAATATTGAATATTTTTTTGAGTAAGTTTAATGGCGAAAATAGTGTTGTTATAAAAATATAATATAGGCAGGTATTAGATTATTTTGTCTCTATGGTTATTGGTTAAAGGTTGAAACATTTCTTTCAAAGACTCAGACAATTAGGAAAAAGAACAGCTGTGTTGTTTTTAAGGGATTAAAAAGGTATACCTAAACACAGAATAAAAACATTTAAAAATATTCAGTGGAAATAACTCACCTGATCGCAGTCCAATGTCAGGCTGACCGAATCGTTCAGAGGCAATATCAAGTGTTCGTCTCTTTTGCCCCCTGGAGGAACAGAAAAATAACAAATAAATATTGGAGAGAAAAGGCGACGTAATAAGTAATAACGGGTAGGAACACACAGTATTTTATGACTGCTATGTTGACAGGCGCCACGCATGTCACGACCTTATCCATGACGAATCAAACGGGAAATAACCTTCTGACTCTGTGAAGTTAGGCGAAATCACGAAGACGTTATGACTTGTGAAAATTAGTATGTTATTGTGTACCCGCTGGTATGCTGCTACAACTACGATGCGTTGCTGTTCAATGTTCGTTGACGTGTTGGGACGCTCAAACACCAAGCACAGACCCAAGGTTAAAGTATAATATACTTAATCCAAGGTTATATACACCGATATTAATCTACATTATTTGTATAATATTATACTCTATTGTGCGTGACACTCAGCTGATGTGCTAGTATGCGAGTTGTGGGCTGCAGTTGTATCGTATCTAAGATATTTTCAAGGAGGGGATGTACAGTTTTTAATAGACATTCAATATACACATATTATTCTAAGCATTTCGTATTGTGTATACAATTTGGTCTCCGGGGTAGGGGGGCTATGTATAGGGGAGTATGACCTCCGTACACCCCTCTCCCAACGGTAGATAAGCCACTGGTAGGCTGTTGTAGCCTGTATAGTGTAGTGGTATACGATCAAGTACAGACTACAAAGTAGTATGTAAAACCAACTACCAACTATGTCTAGGTACTTGTATAATTCATCACGATAACGTAAAGCCGGATACACGGCTACACGTCTCGTGCGTGGGCGTGGTAACTGTGGCTTACATGAATTATAATTTTACAATACTATAATGTGATACATATTTTATGAAATGTTTTAAAACTGAGATTGAACTACAGTTAAATTATCCACAGAGCGTCACATCCACAATCGTCTAGAAAAATTAAGGAAAAACTACAATATTTACGCAAAACAACAAACAAGTTAGCGAAAAAAAATCGATTTTGTTTTTTAGTGTAACTCTAAAAAAAAAACAGAATATAAATGAAATTTTCACCGAATGTTTATATTAGCAATATTTCTATGAACCATATTTTCGAAATATTGTGAATCTTTTTGAGTTATTTATAGGCATAAGCTTATATCTAATTATATAATACTCTACTTTAAAACTTTTTAAAACTCGTTGAAAAAAAGTAATCAAAACTCAAAAATTTACATTTCAATCTTATCATGATATCAATTTATTATTTGGTAATTTAACGTATTAATTTATACATGATTATAATACCTATAGATATTCAATGTTGATTAAACATATTTTATACATGGTTATTATACAGATATTCAAAGTTAAATAAACGTGGAAAAAAGTTTATAAAAGTTGAGCGTCAATCCGCAATATTTATTTATGAGCGTCTGAAGTCAAAATGCTGAAAAAATTAATCAAAAACACGAATATTGGCAAATTATTTTTAGTTAGCAGTTCATAAAAAAGTTTTTATTTATATATAAAATTTTAAACTCATTCAAGATTTCCTTTTAGCTTTTTTACGTTTAACAAAGAAAAAAAGTTTACCTAAAAGTCCAATTACAGTCGACTCTCGATAATTCGAAATTGACGGGACTGTTTAAAAACTTCGAATTACCGAGAGTTCGAATTGTTGAGTAGTTCGAAATAACGAGAGGGCAAAAAAAAATTCGAATTATAGAGAGTTAAGAAAAAAATTTTGTTTTTTATTATTGTACATACAGTCGACTCTCGATAATTCGAAATTGACGGGACTGTTGAAAAACTTCGAATTACCGAGAGTTCGAATTGTTGAGTAGTTCGAAATAACGAGAGGGCAAAAAAAAATTCGAATTATAGAGAGTTAAGAAAAAAATTTTGTTTTTTATTATTGTACATACATACATATTAATTATTTCATACATATTAGAGTTATTTATTGTTAATTTTAACATTTTTAATTATTTATTATTATTATAAAATATTATTATTTTTTAAAGAAATCTGTTATGGTTTTCTGCTTCATTGAATTTAGCTTAATTTTTTCAATAGTATTTTCTATAGTAAATAAAGCATCAAAAACCTCAACATTGACTTCTGACTGGAGCGAAAAATTTCGTAATTTTTCCAATGCTGAACTGGCTTCTTTTAAAGTCACAAGAGGTAGAGGACTTGTGTCATCTTCATTGTCTTCGTCAATGCTTAATGTATTTTCCAAAATGTCGGCGTCAGAGAGGACTCCCCATACAGCAACATCTTCATCTACATTGACATAATCAGTGAAAGATACATTTTCTTGAGTTGGCAGGGAATTCCATTGTATCGATTCAATATTCAACTGGTCGTTTTCTGTTTCTTGAATTTCTATGGTAAATCCCGATTTTTTAAAACACTTGAGTATCGTAGAAGGAGCCACTTTTTTCCATGCCTTATCAACAAATATCATAGCAGTCAATACACTAATGTTTGGCGTTTGTTCACTTTCAATGCATTCCAAAACATTCTTTACAACTTCTTGACGGTAAAAAGTTTTAAAATTCTTAATTATACCTTGGTCGAGTGGTTGCAACTTTGATGTGGTGTTAGGAGGAAAAAATTGAAGTTCTATATTAGTTAAAGTTGGGGGGTTATTATGAACTGTACAGTTGTCTAAAAACAGTAGAATTTTTCGTTCCTGTTTTTTCATATCTTCATTGAGTGAAAACAACCATTCATTAAATAATTCTGTCGTCATCCATGCCTTTTTATTTGCACGATAAGTTATAGGAAATGAACGTATGCCCTTAAAACACCTAGGTTTGGCAGCTTTTCCTATGAGGAGTGGAGTTAACTTTTCGGAGCCGTCCATGTTTACTGCTAATAAAATCGTTAACCTGTCTTTACTATGTTTCCCGCCGTGGCATTTTTCTTCTTTAAAAGTGAAAGTTTTATCTGGTAAACATTTAAAAAATAGAGCGGTTTCATCTGTGTTGAACACGTTTCGTGGCTCGTAATTTTTTAACAAAGTTGAAAGTTTACGATGCCACTCTGAACACACGTTATCGTCAACACTAGAACTTTCTCCACAAATTTTTTTGAAAACAATACCGTTTCTTTTCTTAAAATTCGTTAACCATCCATCACTAGCTGAGAAAAACGGGATGCCCAACTCTTTGGCGAATGATTTTGCTTTTTCTTTGAGTAAGAGGCCACTTACAGGCACATTTTGCCCTCTGCATTGCCTAACCCATTGTACTAAACACTCTTCTAATCTTGGATGCTCACCTTTACTGTTTCGTTTCCGACCACCGCTTGATGACGCAGTGATGATTTTATTTTTGTCCTTCAAAATCGTAGACAGTGTACTTAAAGGAATGTCAAATGTCTTAGCCACTTCGGTTTTTTTGTCACCTCTTTCAACCGCTTCAATTAATTGTTTTTTTTCCGAAATCGTCAAAGATTTGTATTTTTTAGAATTAGACGCACTCATCACATGAACTTGACTTTACAACCGACCAAACGAAACTAAAATAAAACTACATTCGGCTGACGGCTATCGACGACTCGACGAGTTAAATTACGATTAGAGACGATTAAGAAATAAAACGATAAGGTTCTTACAATAATATTCTATAGTTATCGACAGTAATAATCTAAATTTCTAGACAGATAAAATACATTTGGTGAATATACTTCGAATTTCCGAGCATTAAACGAATGATACTTCGAATTGTCAAGTGTTAGTGGCCAGTTTTCCCAAAATTTAATTTCGAATTACCAAGTGTACTTAAATGCATTGTTTTTGTTCGAATTACCGCGTGGTTTTCAAGGAACCGAGTATTTACTTCGAATTACCGAAGGTTTCGAATTATCGAAGGTTTGAATTATCGAGAGTCGACTGTAATTGTATACGAGTTTTGAATTTAGACATGATTGGAGAGGTATACACCCTTAAATTAACAAATTCGCATACAACCATTTTCTTATATTTTGTTGTTATTCAAAAACTTATAACCACAGGTATTTGAAATTTTCATTGAATGCTTATTTTATCATTTTTTACACATGATAATATTTTCAAAAATCATTTTACAAGTTTTGAATCATTTATAGACATTCATCTCAATTTACAATTTCAGATTCTAAGTGAAACAATGAATGTATTGATTTTACAATGATGTGTTTTTTTTAGATTCTGAGTGAAACGATGAATGTATTGATTTTACAATGATGTGTGTTTTTTTTAATTTTATTTAATTTTTTTTTGTGTCTGTCATCACGTTTTAGGACAGTAAAAGTGCTTGGATTTTCTTCAACAGTAGCTTTTCTGATAGGAAAGTGAATCTAGTTGGTACTTTGGGAGGTTAAAAGTAAAAGGGCAAATTTTACAATTCCCAATAGTTTTCACAAGCGCCGGGAAAAACAACATAAAAATTAAGGAAAAACGGGAATTTTTACGCAAAATCGGTTTTCCAAAAAATCGAATTTGGTTTTTGGTGTAACTTTAAAACAAATGAACGTATATACAAGCAATTTTCACTGGTTGTTTATATTTGCATTTTCTATACACGATAACATTTTCAAAATATTTTGATTTATTTTGAACTGTTTAGAGACATTTTCATTTTCCATTTGTTTTTAGTTTTTTTTCTAAAAATATCAATACAATTTTATTCGTTGGTTAAAAAAGCTTGAAAATTTAATAGAAGGCTCTTAGTATATTGTTTCAGAGGCAGATGAAAAATATTAAAAATCGTTAGTCACATTTTTTTTATAAGCATTTAAAGTTCAAAAATTGACAAAATATGGAAAAATCACGAAAATTAGCAAATTATTTTGAGTTAAGAATTCGTAAAAATTTGTCTTTTTAAATCTAAGATGTGAAAATGTAATACAAGATTCCTTATAAGATTATCTACCTTTAACAAAAAACAAATGTCTATAAGAAAGTCAAATTAAATTTTTATGAGCGTTTGAAATTCAAATTTTTACAACATTGGATATTCACTCGATTTCCATGTAGGGATTTCCTTATTTTGTTGTAATTCAAAAACGAATAATTGTAGATACATGGAAATTTCACTGAATATTTATATTAGCATTTCCTATACACCATACAATTTTGAAAATATTTTGACTATTTTGAGCTGTTTAAGGACATTTTCAGTTTTCAATTTTTTTAGTTTTTTATTCTATAAATATCAATAAAGTTGTATCTGTTGGACCAAAAAGTTTAAAAATTTAATACAACTCTCCTGATATATTGTTACAATATCAGTTGTAATTTTGTAAATATTAAAAATACATTGGCACAATTTTTTTTTTATAACCATTTAAAGATCGAATTTTGACAAAATTTATCAAATTTAAAATTGAATAATTATTTTGTAGTTAAAAATGTATAAAATGTTCAACTTTTATATCTAAGGATTGGAAATTTAAAACAAGATTCCACGTAAGTAGTTAATTCTGTTACCAAAAAATCTAAAAAATACATAAGCACAGTTTATTTTTATAGTCATTTTAAGTTCAACTTTGGCCTAAATTACATAAAAAAAAACCATGTGTGTTACCAGTACGCGCGCGGGAAGTTAAACTTCTTTTGAATGGTACACGTGAGTGAGTGAAAAAGAAAGAAAAAAATATTAATTAATTTAAAAAATGAGAAAAAGTATCCGGAATTATTTATTATTGATAGTTTTATTATTTTTTTTATATTTTTATTCGACAGATCGATGGATAATTGTTTGTAGTATTGTTTTTATCCAGATAATAGATTTGTGAGTGAATACTACTAATAATAATAAAAATAAATAATAATCGATCATTAATTATTCATATTAATTAGTATGGCCCGATTATAATATATAATACTAGCTGATCCCGTGCACTTTGTCGCCCTTTAAATTATCAACTCAATATGAGTTATGACTCAAACTTTGTTCAATTCGTTATTCAATATTCGGTGTATGGTGTTCAAAATTTATCTTATCTTTTCCGTTGCCCGGAATAAAAATTCTGAATCGCAGCAGTACATTATCAGGTAGGACCCCGTACTGTTTGGACGGAAGTGTATGATTTAACCCTAAATTATCAAAGTTATAAAAAGTGTATTTTGATTTAATACGGTGGATTAATATAACAAATTTGATTGCTCGTAAAAAATCACAACTCTTAAAAAAATTATGATTGTTGAACTCCTTTTGGGTGTAACTTGCTGGGGTAAGTGCAACTCAGCCACCCTGGTAGGCAATGATCAATAATTTGATTTGATGCAAGCTTGTACCTGATCTGCCCGAATAACCAATGGCAACCAATAAATAAATGCTAATTTCTAATGTAGACTGTAACCAATGGCAACTATTAATAAATAAAAATAAAATTTCCAATTTCCATCTTGAATCTCAATGTCCCTTTTTGAGCACCTATTTAAAATGCGAATTTCGAAAAATCCTTTCTTAGCGCACGTCTACATCATAATAGCTATCTGTATGCCAAATTTCAGCCAGAACCTTTCAATGGTTTGAGCTGTGCGTTGATAGCAGTCAATCAGCTTACTGTTTTATATATACATATATATATATATATATTAAAATATATAATAAAACAACATTACCATGACAATATTTATTTATTTACGGACATGTACGCTTTCGCGTTTGTACCGCCGCCCGTTCGTACGCGCCGCCCGTTCGCTTTTTTTTCCTCACTACCGTGCGTAAAGAAGTATAACTTCAAAAACCTAGAATAACTATTTTAGTTATTTTGTTTTAATATTATTCGTGGGTACTTGAAACTTCTAAAGTACACTATGATATATCTATGGAGTATGGACTATCACAAGTATCAGGGTTTGTTGTTGACGTATAACGCATTAAAGGTACCTAATGGATATTGTGATATGATTAATTTGGAATTTATTATGGATACCTATTTTAGTAATTTTTTTTTAATACGATTGATAAGTATATAATATGTCTTATACCTAGACTGACATACCATCTCCGCTCATAATCGTTTTTCTTATACAATGATATTATATCATTGAATGCAAATTTAATACTATCCAGTATACAGTGACCCACTTGTAACCTAATATGCAGCAGAGCACCTTTTGAACTTAAAATGCTTATAAAAAAAATGTGACTAATTGTTTTTAATATTTTTCTTCTGCCTTTGAAACAATGTACTAGGAGCATTCTATTAAATTTTCAAGTTTTTTAACCAACAAATAAAATTTTATTGATATTTCTAGAAAAAAAACTAAAAAAAAAATGAAAAATGAAAATGTCCCTAAACAGTTCAAAATAAATCAAAATATTTTGAAAATGTTATCGTGTATAGAAAATGTAAATACAAGCAACCACAGAAAATGTCATGTATCTACGGTCATTTGTTTTAAAGTTACACCAAAAACCAAAATCGATTTTCTCGAAAACAGATTTTGCTTAAAAATTCACGTTTTTCCTTAATTATTCTTTTGTTTTTCCCGGCGCTTTTGAAAACTACTGGGAAATTTAAATTTTGACCTCCCCAATGCACCATAGATATTCACTTTCCAACTGCACATAATACTGAAGTCGAAAATCTAAGCATTATTTCGACTACATATCGTGTACACAGACACAAAAAAAATAAATAAACACACATCATTGCAAAATCAATACATTAATCGTTTCACTCAGAATCTAAAATACACAAGCACGGTTGACTTTTATAGTCATTTTAGGTTCAAATTCGGATGAAATTATATATTAAAACAATATTAATGATTTTATTTTTTTGTTGTAATTTAAAAATATTATTCGGGGATATATGAAACTGTATAATCAAAAAATCAATATATTTCGGCCTATCCATACAATCTACCATAGTATAACGAATAAAAAGTATGCTCAATGATAGAAGTTCTGTCAACATTGTAATGCTAACTTCACACGGGTCATATTTTTTTTTATTACCATTGATATGTATATAATATGTCTCAAGCCTAGACTGACATACCGTTTCCACTCAGAATCGTTTTTCTTATACAGTAATATTATATCATTGAATTCAAATTTGATACCATCTATTATACAGTGACCCACTTGTAACCTACTGTACAGCAGAATACCTTTTTCAATATACATTACATAGGTACAATATCTACAAAATATCATACAAAATATATGTATGCCGTACGATACCTGATTGTCTTTATGTTTATAATTTATTAGAGTTTTTTAAAATAAATCATTCGTAGGTATCACTATAGTGGGCTTTTATAGTTTTATAAATATTATGAAAAAGACACAATTCGTAATGATATAGATGTATACTTGTTTTGATAGGTTCTGTACAAAAAAATTGGGGATATAAATAACAGATGAACAAAAAAAATTTATTCTATTCTTTAACTGGAAAAACTTCAAAAAAGTAAAAAACAGAATTTTATCTGGATTAGCGGGCGTTTTGTATAGGCAATATAAGTACATTCCGGATATTATG